TTTTAGTGATATAATATATGAGTGTCTAGTCTATAAAGTGAAAAATGACAATATGTTAAACCTTTAACTTTTATATTTGAGATTCTCTATTTGATTAATTAAAATTTTTCTCATCTCTCTTTGCTTTAATACTAACCTCAACAGAAATAAGATATCCAACACCTTCAAGTTGATTAATCTTTGATGCCATATTGAGAGGAGTATTTCCATTTTTATTCTATTTATCCCATTTAGGTACTCTCCAATGTGCTTAACAGAGAATAAATCACATGGAATTTAAATACTGCTAATGAAAAAGTTTATTATAACTTGTGGGATTATGTAAGAGGCAAGAACTGCCATATACACAATATGCTGCTGTCAATTAAGCATTAAAAATGATGTAAACATTTAAATTCACTCAAATTTTGAGAAAGAGATTATAGAAAAACTTTTTTCATGTTAAGTATTTGCTTAAATTCATTTGAGTAGCCTAAGACTGATAAATCATTAAGGCTGCTTAGAGTGTCTTGTGCTTGTAAATCATGTTATGACTTTGCTACACTTACTAAAAATCTAAAGAAAAATCTAAAGAAAAAAAAAGTTTAGAATTTGCACAAATAAAATGATATTGAATAGTTGTATTTTCAGGGGAGCAGCAAAAATTAAGAAGTACATGGAATGCAAATACTATGGTTATCAATTATTACAAGAGCCAAGGTAAAATATTACTATCCAAGCAATAAAGCTTATTATTGCCCATGCAGAAAATTGTGACAAATATTCCAATTTGCGCCATAAACTATCTCTTGGTTTCGCTCTACGGAATAGACTAGTTGCATCAGGAAAATTTTCATTGTATTTATAACGATACTCTTCCTTATCTAATGAAATCATTTTTTTAACTGTAATTTCCTTATAAGAATCAATTTGCCTATAGAAAAAATATTGATAAAGTACTTCCAAATTCAATATTTTTAAGAATAAATATAAATATAGACCAGATTCGCTTGTCAAAAAATTGATTAATTTGGAATTTCCATTGTTAAAGCAAAACAAGAGTGTGTCAGGGTCGTCATATAAAATTTCTAGAAAATTTCTTAATTTATGAGATTCGTCGTAAACCGCCTCTAAAAAGTCATCGAAACCTTGTTGCGCCTCTTCATTAAAAACATATTCTTCTTTTATTAGAAAAACAACTGTTTCATTTTCATTTTTTTTAATTTTTGAAAGTTGGTATTCATATGATCCATACTTAAAATTGTACCTTGCAACAGTTGTAGGAGAACTATGATCGTCATAGTCATATTCCATCACCCTTGCATAATAAGAAATCACTGGTTGCTGTTCCAGGAATGATTTCAAATATGCTTTATTATTTATATTGAAAAAAAAAAAAAAAAAAAAAAAAGGTAGTGGGGCTTCCAGGCACTTCGTGCCTTCTAGCCCTGATGTTGATGTTTAGTATAAATGAAGTTTTTATTCGGAGGACTCTTCTTCTTCCTCCATTGCTTCTGGGAAGAAGCCTTCTTCTGGGTCGAAAACATTATATAATGTGTCGCTTTTCACAAATTATATATGTTTTCATGTTTTGTCACTTTTCTGTCACTTTTCAGGAAAAAACATTTTTATTATTATATATAAATGAATTTTACAAAACCACCGTTACCGTTCTTTGGAAATAAGAGTAAATGTAAAGATATTATATTGAGAGAACTTAAGAAACTACCGAATGGTCTAACATTTGTAGATTTGTTCGGTGGAAGTTTCTATATATCCCATTTATGTCATATAATATTCCCAGACTCAAAGATTATATGCAATGACTTCGACAACTATATGGACCGTCTCAAACATATACCAGACACAAACAATATATTGAAAGAGTTAAAAGAAAAGATTCAGATAGGTAAGATGGAACGTATACCATTAGATAAGAAAAATATTGTGAGAGAGGTTTTGAAAAAAGCAGAATATATAGACTGGGATAGTATATCTGCTAGACTATTATATAGTGGTTCTATAAGAGTTCATGACATTGAAACACTTATGTCAAAAGTTTTATATCTTAACTATACAAATGTTTTCAAAGAGGACATAGAAAAATATATTGAGGGTATAGAGTTTGTGAGATGTCATTGGACAGATTTGTATGAAAAATATAAAGACAAGGAAAATGTTTTCTTTATAGTGGACCCGCCGTTCTATAACACATGGAATTTTCAATACCAAGTAGACTGGACTTTGAGAGACTCTTTAGAAACTTTAGACGTTTTACATAACCATCCATGCTTTTACTTTACATCCGATAAAAGTGGTTTGGAAACCGTTATGAGATGGTTAGAGGACATACATGACTATGAGTTTATATATGACAAGATAGAATATGAGAGAGGTCCTATAAACTGGAGAAAGTGTCATAACAAAGAAATTTTATTAGTAAGTAAATGTGGTTTGAAATAGGACTACTTGTTTTAGGTTTTTTCCATTGTGTCATTTATTTATTTGACGTGGCAGAAAAGTACAGAGAATATGAAGATGAACCAATGCCTGCAAATGTTCAGTATATGTACTCGTAAGAGATATTTTTATCTAATATTAAATGGACGCACAGAACTTAGCGAATGCACAGCAACCTGGACAACCAAACCCAGAGAATATTCCAAATGAAGTTAGAATACAAACTGCAATGGCAAACTATGGTCAAGTGCCAACAGATGTACAAATGCAAACTGCCATGTCAAATGACGCTGCGTTAGGTTTGCCACCATGGTATGCAAATATGAGATGGAAAGAGTTTTATACAAACCCTGAAGTGGGATATAAACAACTTTATGCAGATGACGCGAACACAGGAGTTGACCCAGAATATGTTTTCTACCAGAGGAGAAACAGAATGTATGAGCTCCAGTTAAAGAATGCTATGGAACTCAACAGGAAACGCAAAAGACTAGGCGGACATTAGATTTTTACATATAGTAAAATGGGTTTCTTCAGTAGTATTGGAAACTTCTTTCGAAATGTTGGAAGAGGTATATGGAATGGAATAAAAACCGTAGGAAGAGGAATTTGGAACGGAGTCAAAAATATTGGTAAAAGAGTAGGTCAGTTTGTTGGTATTATACCTAAAGACCCTGAACCAGAAGAACAAGCTCCTGTTATACAACAGCCTGAACCTGCACCACAGTCTAGTTGGCAACCAAATCCAACACCTCAACCGTATTAAAAAATTATATTTTTACCGTTCGATAGTAGTTGTATATGAAACTAAGTTCTAAGTAAAACGCATGGTATAATGGAATTATTCTTTTTCTTCCATCTGTAGTAAACCATACTTGAAAGTCTGAAATACTTCCACTCGGCGGTTCATATAACTTTGTAGGTTTTTCGTAAAAGTCATTTGCCAAGCATAAGAAAGAGTTTTGAGCGCCAGAAAATGAAGCATGAACAATAATAGCAGCTGGGTCGAAAACATCTTTAAATAAATATGGTTCATCTCTTGCATATCGACTGTAAATATTTGCTAAAGGAAGTTTGACTTTCTGATTTAACATTCTTTGCAAATAATACCATGACATTGCAGTGAATTCTGTATATATTTGTTCGTCTTTCTTTGGATTGTCTTCGTAGATTTGAAATGACACTTGTGAATTTTGTTTGTCATATACAATTCTCACATAAAGTGTGCTCTCGGTATTTGCATATTCATCAGCATATTTTGCATAACATGAATTTATTTTATCTTCTATATTTTTTAACGCAGTCTGTAGAGAAGATGAAAGGTCAACTTGTATTAGCTCAATTTCTTCCCACATTTTTCGTTTCCCTTCAGATATATAATCTATATGAAACCTTACAATAAATGGAAAACTTTTATCTTCTACAGACACAAACTTCATTCTACGAAAGCCAATAGCTTTTGTGACAGATGGGTCTCTTAGCCATCTTAATGGGTAGTCAAAACGATAGCCTTCATGCTTTACGGTCTCTGTCTCAAACTTTTGACCGACATTAGTAAAAAGTTCATCTAATGGTTTAGTTGTAGCAACTCTTGAATTTTCTTTTTCTATTGGAAGCATATTTTATCTAGAATAAAAATGTCAAATGAAACAGCGTCTATGAGAGAAATACAACACAACCGACAACTCATTGTGCAAGCTCTAAATAAGAACACAACAAACTTTTCAAACTATTCTAAGATATCTGAGTCATTGAAAGAAGGAAACTTAAAACTGACATTAAACCCAATGACAGATGAGTTTCTGTTTCAAGACAATAAGAACCATACTGTCTGTATAAATCCAACAAAAGGAACTTTAAACGAGAAACCTATAAATGAACTTCTTTTGAAAGCAGATGTTGACAACAAAGCTGACAAAGAATATGTAGACGATGCAATAGCAAAAGAAGAAGAAAGAGCTAACAATGCTTATGCAACAAAAGAACATACTCATCCTGAACTAGCAGACAAAACATATGTTGACAATAAAATGTCAAGTGAAGTGACAAGAGCTGAAAACGAATATTCTAAAAAGACTCATATACATTCTATATCTGAAATAACAGACTTAAACGTTAGCCTTGAAAAGAAAGCAGATAAGGAATATGTGGCTAGTAAGTTAGAGAAGAAAGCGGATAAGGAATATGTGGCTAGTAAGTTAGAGAAGAAAGCGGATAAGGAATATGTGGATGAAAAAGATAACGAAATGAAAGAAAGGGTTAACTGGTACCATGAATGGACATCGAAGACTTTTAAAGTTAAAGCCGATACAGGATGGGTTTCAGGATGTTTAGACCTTAAAGCAGATAAAACTTATGTTAACGATGAGTTAGAGAAGAAAGCAGACAAGAACCATACACATACAAGTTTTACAACTGTTGCTATAGAAAGTATTGAAGGAACGGTTGAAGAAACTGGTGGGGATGCAATATATTGTAAACCTCCTAACTTTCCACAAGGTTTAACATCGGATGACGACATAACGACGATGAGAAACATTAGATGTAAAGATGTTTATGTCATGAAGGATGAACATAATATTAAATTCACTGCTCAAGATTTATATGACAAGAAAGCAGACAAAACAGAGCTTCAAACATTAAAGACAGAAATACTTCAAACATTATATCCTATAGGCTCTATTTATACGTCAATGAACTCTACCAGACCAGAAACAGTTCTGGGTTTTGGAACTTGGACTCAAATAGTCGACAGGTTTTTGTATTGTGCAAACTCTTCAAAGGAAACAGGTGGAAGTAAAACGATTTCAGGTGAAAATTTACCTGCACACAGTCACTACATAGATTTAAGTACATCTCAAGCAGGTTGGCATAAACATAAATTTTGGGATTGGTCAGCAATGACAAAAGGTAAAGGATATGATGTTAAAGACAACGTTCAGTTTGCTATAAATTGTTTCTGGGGTGACACTCAGGGAGATGGAAACCATACACATCGCGTTTCAGGATATACGCAAACAACGGGACAAAGTAAAGACTACATGCCACCTTACATGACAGTTTACGCATGGTATAGAAATGCTTAGTCGTCATTTTCAACTTCTTTAGCATATTCGTCAGGAGTTGTCTTATATTTGTTAGGAACTGTCTTTGAAAGTATACCACCTTGAACTTTGACAAGTTTGAAACGAGGTCTGACAATAGTAGTTTTATCTTCTGCTTGCAGTGTGTACATTTTGCCATGTTTGCCTAAAACTTCATAATATTCTCTTGTATACTTTCTTCTATTTTTACGAACACGAATGTGAGTACCTGTCGGGTTCCCATTGTTGTCATAGTCAATAGTATTTTCATATGGGTCGCGTTTAGGTATTTCTATTTTTACTTTGTCACCTTTCTTAAGTTTGAAGCCCGGCATTCTTTCTTGTTTGTCTCTTTTGACTAAATTATTAAATATATAGTCTTTCTCTAAGTCAGGGTTGTTTTTCATTTCTTCAGGGGAGTGGTTTCCCAAACCTTTTTGTTTACGGTTATTGTAAATATTTAAAACTTGTCTCATCTTTGCCATGGAGAAGTGTCTATATTTGTCGTCATATGACATTTCATTTGCTTCACCACCTTGTGGTTGGTTTAAGTCTCTTAACATTTTTATACAACGTCAATGACACCAAGAGCAGAATGGTTTTGGTCGACAATGAAATATTGGTTTACATTTTTTGAACGCAGATAGTTTTTTACATCATCTGATTTGAAAGAACTTTCACAGTCAGATGTCAGTTTTGGAAGAGAGATTATGATTTAAGACTTATATCATAATATTCCTGCACCAACTACAGCATTTGATCCAAACTCGACGGTTTGCAAGTGTACTTTCATAAAGTCGCAAGCGACCAGGGCGAAGCCATGACAGTTTCATTAATTACTTTAAGGGGATTACAGTTAAGTGCGAACTCATTAAGGCGTCATTATATGATAAATCATTGTACTTTTAACTCAATTCAGCGTAATACATATTATATTCATTCATTATTGTTTCATATGCTTCTAAAGAAGGATGAGCCAAAAACTATCGATAAAGCGGTGTATTGAATAAAAGCATTGAACGCACGAAATTTGAACTTCGTTAACTTTTGACGGTGATAGTTTCGTTTAATGACAAACATGGGAAACAATTTTAACGAAGAAATATTTAAAATTCATGTTAGTGGAGTTCGTTGGAAATTGAAAAAGAAGGTGAATATAACGTTCGATCCACTGAATTTCATTTTCAGGCTTAGCGAATGCGGGTGTTATATTTCGCCTGAATGGGACAACTATACAAGAGTGAATAAATGCAATATGACGGTTTTTTGGGGTCAAAAGTCGGGATGGGTGAGCTTAGTAAATGCTGCAAGAACATTAGGTGAAACAGGAAATTTTGTAGATGGTTTTAAAAGACTTGTTTCAAATGTTTTAACAAACAAAAGAAATTATTTAGTATACCATAATAACCGGACGGATTTTCGAAGCAGGTTAGGCAAACAAACGCTCCGGTTATGGGCTGCGTTGATGATGGTTAGAGATATAAAACCACGTAACGACGGAACGAAAGAAATGAACAACAGCGATACTTGGTCGGGTTATTCAAGACATTAAAAAACGTTGTTATCCTGAAGTTATTTGATTTATTTAGAGGAAGTTAATGATTCAACTTTAAAACATTTCTATAACCCTCGATGAAGAAATAAATTAACAGATTATATATTCGTCATTATTTCGCAGAACTTAATGACAGAGAATAAATGAAAAGGAGATGTGGTGTGATGTCATAATGTCAGCGATTAATGATGAAAAGAAAATTTTGAGACTTCATTATTTAACAAAACCGAAAACAGGAATTAGTCTTTATGACGTAATTCACCGAATTAATCGAAAAAAGATTAATGATAATAAGAGTTCTGGCGGAAGAGTTGAATTAGAAGTGATTGATGTTAATGAGAAATTAGCCGAAAAAGCATGATAAAAACCGTTCATTATTATAACTTCAGACGAACAGATTATAACGGACTACCATGGATATTTAACACGAAGTGATGAAGCGAAGACAAAAAAATGTTAATGAAAGAAGATATAAATACATTCGTGCTAAAGGTTATGACATAAGCTGTACTGTTACAGTATGATGTAGCTAAAGCACCAAAGAAGCATTTGGTTATACCGGTGAAATTTATGCCTCTACTTTCTCTGTTAAAGGTGTATTAGTTGAACCAAGATTTACTTTTGAGAGTTAAGTCAAAAATAACGTTTGAAGATGCTATTAAAAGTAAAGCTGACAAAATGAACTTAGACGCAACGAACAAAGTTTGAAATCTCATAAACACAACATCTCCGAATATAAATGAACTTCAAACTCTTTAGACAGTAAAGCCGACAAGAACATACACATAATCCTTCACTACTGTAGAGCAGACGACATAATATTGAACTTTGACCTTGGTTTCAAGTGCACCTTTAGAGAATCCAAGTACAAGCGTAAAGATTACACTAAACTCCTTAAATAGTAAATGTATAACATTTGAAGGTCATGTCAGAAACTTTGAAACACATGTAACTACCAGCAAAATGTAAGATAAGAAAGAGCAGACAAGAACATACACATGATTTTTACAACTGTTGTATAGAAAGTATTGAAGGAGGGTTGAAGAACTGGTGGGGATGCATTATATTGAAACCTCCTAACTTTCCACAAGGTTTAACATCGGATGGAACATAACGACGATGAGAAACATTGATGTAAAGATGTTTATGTCATGGAGGATGAAATAATTTAAATTCACTGCTCAAGATTTATATGAAAGAAAGCGACAAAACAGAGCTTCAAACATTAAAGACGAAATACTTCAAACATTATATCCTGGGCTCTATTTATACGTCAATGACTCTAAACCAGAAACAGTTCTGGGTTTTGGTACGTTGGACAGATTGGTAGTAAATTTTATTGTGCGAACTCTTCAAAGCAAACAGGTTGGCTTCGAAGAAAATTAAAGAAGCAAACCTTCCACCGCACACTCATACAGGAACTACAAACACACAGGTAGTTCATTCCATTTCAATAACAAAAAGAGGTTATACAAATCTTTGCAGCAGGTTCGGATAGACAGGGAATGCATAGATATGATATTTCAAGTGACCCAGTAGATTCACAGCACAGGTATTTTCTGTGGAACCACAGGAAATCATTCACACACTTTTCACAACAAATCCAACAGCTCGGGTGAAGATTATATGCCACCATTTGGTGACTATATTCGCATGGTACCGCGTTCAATGAACGCGCTTGAGCCAAGAATAAAATCTTTTTAACTTTCATAAAATGAGCTTGAAAGAAAGTATTCGAACAACATCCATGAGGTCTTTTAAGAAGTTCATGAGCTGCAAAGAGTTGGGATTACTAACAGAGCTGAAGTGAAAGGTTCTTGACAAAAATGTTGTACATCAAACAAAAATAAATCCTTACGACTACTTTTTACCAATTTACTCCAACACTCCTGACGCATACCAATTTGACACTCTCATTCAAAGCAGAAAAGGAGGACTCTAAACCATTCCTCATCTTCATTAATGTTAACACTCGCAAAGCTTTTGCGTATTATAATGAGAAATAAAGGAACTCATGAAGTGTTAAGAAAGTTTTACAAAAGTTTGTAGCAGAACATAGCCCAAGTATTTTAACATCAGACCAAGACGGTGCATACCTCAGCAACGAAATCACAGAATTTCTCATTAAGGCATAACATAACTCACTACACTACTGAAGACCATAACCATAAACATACTCGGTATCATTAACCGCTTCATAAGGACTCTCAGCGAATTTAAATCAAGAGCGAGACTTTACCGAAGAAACAATGAAACATTTCATCGAAGTTTACAATTCCTCCTCCACATTCTACAACAGGCCATACACCAAATTCAATGACAAAACACAACAAGAAAGAAAAGTATATACAAAAGAACGAAGTCAAACACAAAATATCAGAAATTCAACACAATTTACCCTCATTCCTGGTACAAAAAGTTCGTGTAGTTCTTGACGACAACCGTTGACAAAGAAACCGTTTAAGGTTAAGTCGAAATTATTATATCGTAGACTCTACGCAAGGTAATGGAATTATCTTATAAAAGCTGCTGAGACTCCATAGCATTTATCCTCGTCATAAATTAGTCGAAAGTAGTAATGGCAAACTTTGCTGAAACCATTGACGAAGCAAAGCGAAGGAGTGGTTATTGAAATACTTTGACTACAACATAAACGATGACACTTATAAAGTAAGATATG